AGAGGTTGTAGGTTCAAGTCTCAGCATCTGCAATTTCGCCTCTCATATTATGCTCACCAATGAGCCATGCACAATAGTGCCACTATGTGCAACTGTGCTGCCACGTGCCATGTTGGTGCAATGTGCATCATTCATTTCATATGTAACAGCCATGCCATGTGCATGCCAATCGCCGGTGAGGCTTACCCATGTCAGAATGTGCACGCTCTCTCCATCAACAATGCTCAACGGCCTTCGTCCAGTGAGCACCACAAGCATGAGCACACCAAAGCTGCACCGAGGGTGGGATGGTTGATAGCAGTTGGGGTGGTTATCGCATGTAGAATATACGGTGGCCATGGTCCATGCTTACTAGATAGAGCATGACGAAGGTGCGAGGGCATAAGTGCAAGATCAATGCATGATAGGTGAAGCACATGACCAATACACATTTGCAGAATCAGTGCGCAAACATGAGAGTCAAGTGCACACAAAGATGAGAAGCAAGTGCCCACAAACATGAGAAGCAAGTGCCCACAAACATGAGAAGCAAGTGCCCACAAACATGAGAAGCAAGTGCCCACAAACATGAGAAGCAAGTGCCCACAAAGATGAGAAGCAAGTGCCCACAAACATGAGAAGCAAGTGCCCACAAACATGAGAAGCAAGTGCCCACAAACATGAGAAGCAAGTGCCCACAAACATGAGATGCATGGGGCGCTTGATCCGAGTTCAGTTCTATCAGCTTTTCCTTAACCAAGTTCACCTATAAACATCACTGGCCCTGGTTGCCTTTGACCTCTGCGTGTAGATGGGATCCACATAGCCTGGCGTTCCCATGACTCGAGTGGTCCCCGTGCTCATACCCTCCTCCGCTGTCACAAGTCCAAATTCCGCAACCTTCGCCTGATGGACGGCATGACACGAGGGAAGAGGAACTCCATGAATGAAGTACAGACAGACAAACCGATTCCACAACTAGGCGTCAGCCTGTTGACCCACCAAATATTGTCGAAACTCCTGTTACATGCAACTGTGTTGCACACGGCTCTCTTATAGTGAGTGGTGCATGCATTGCCTGAGATAACACTCATCCCTCAGAAATTATACTTCAGTTCTGGTTTGGCACTTGCAAAGGGCTTGCCTGCATGTTTTGTGTGAGGAGGATGTTGGCGGGTTTGATGTCGCGATGCACAAGGCCAAAGCTGTGGAGGTACGCCAACCCATGTGCAGCACCAATAAGGATGTCCAGTTGCTGCTTCAAGCTGAGGTGGAAGGGAGCTTCTGCAAGAATACATGAGATGAGTGACACAACATCAAGAAAGAAACACGTTAATCCATTCTCACATGAAAGAAAGGCTAAAAATGATCTTGGTTCATGGAGACATCATTACCTGTTTTGATCCACTTGTCAAGACTACCATTTGAAACAAACTCATAGATCAAGACATGCTCTGGCTGTGTCTTTATGCCCCCGCCAATGGCGAACCCAAGGAGCCGCACAACGTTGGGATGGTTCTTGTCGGCCATGTGTCGGACCTGCGACAAGCACATGGCATCAACTTGGATAGTTACCTCCATTCCAGCTGCTCAGCTCCATACGGTTCTACTGCATGTAAAATAGTATCATAGTGGCATTCAAGGTATATGTGCTTTTGCAATGGCACAGAGCTACCTGCATTGTCAAAGCATGCAGCAGGAAAAGTTTCTCACCTCTCGCTGGAAGTCAGCATCGAGCAGCTTGGCTCGCTTGACGGCCCACAGGTTGGTGCCATCGCGCGGAGACACGCCCTTGTACACGTCACCAAAGGCGCCCGACCTCAGCTGGTTGTCACTCGCCCAGTTGCTGGTGGCTGTGAGCACTTCCTCCAGGGAGTACTCCGTGCACTGCGAGGATGCCACGCTGCCCGCCAGGCCTGCAGATTCATGGAATGAGTAAGAGAAGGTTGGAAAAGGCAGGCATCTGCTTAGTGTAACATGATGTTCCTCTGCCTTATGATGATCAGCACAAAAGTGAGGAAGGAATGGGGGGAGTGCGGGAGGGAGGGTTCCTGGACTGGTGTGTTGTACCTTCAGGTTTCATCTGCACTTCGATATCAATCCCGTCGTTGTGTACTACAGCTGCTCCTCGTGCTGCCTCTTTCGTGTGGCCCCTCCAGCATAGCAGCACACCAATCAGCAGCAGCAGCAGCAGCAGCAGCAGCAGGGAGGCCACAGCAGCCACGGCAATACCAGCAATGGCTGCTGCTGACAGGCCGCCAGACTGGGAGGCAGAAGCTGCAGGCAGGGGGTGCATTGTATGAACGCACGTGATATGGTAGAATTAGGAAAGAACTGCTTGATGCTGCCTTTCCCGCTAACATGTTGACCCCCATGCATGGGGGGGTTGAGGCTTAGTAGTGCCCTTTTTACAGCTAAGCAGGACCGGCCCTGCCTTCAAGGCTGGTATGCCGCACTGCAAAGAGTGGTGGTAGAGAAGGGGTCAGAAAGTCAGGATAAGGTTGTGTCCTAAGAGGGACCAACTTTACAAGCACTTAAGACTTAAATTCGGCTGTACAGCAGACCTACAACCATGTGAAACGGATTTCCGTGTCGCATTCACTATCTCCCACCTTTACAACCATTCGCCCTTACAACTGCTGCGAGGGTGTATGGAGTTCAACTACGAAGTCAGCTGGATGTTAACAATTGTTGGGGAGTGTAACTGCACGGTAGCACATTTGATTCAAAACGGCAACTTCGGCGCTAGTAGCGCTAAGGCACGCGTTGATTACACACCCTGGGAAGTTGCTAGGGGGACGCAGTCTACCCGTCGTAAGACTGCAACACACGTCAGCAGGATCGGCACGCCGAGCTGAAGGGCCATCGCGTCGAAATGATAATCCGTCGCGATGATCATCCAAGTTACTTGTACCGAATTGCAAACAGATCTTTGCAAGTGTGAGCTCGAAACTAGGAGTCACCATAGTATGGCTGTTACAAGAAACTCTGCGGTATTGATGCTATGGGAGCTAGCTAAGTGTGCGCCTGCCAGGATGAAAATGTGTCTGATGAAGCACAATGGAGGGGGAGCACGACAACGATAAGGGCGTGTAAAGTTTTCTTGATCCCTACCATCCAGACGAGGCGACGTCCGGACGATAAAACGGTAACTGTTTTCGCTGAAACACTCGTTTGAAATCGCAACTCAATTTGTGACGCTGGTCCGCACAGACGGAATGTGACATTTTTTTTTTTTTTTTTTTTACATTTTTGGCGAGTATTTCCGTCCCTTCAGCGTCCGGTTGCAATTCGGACCGTCCGATTTTGGTGCGCTTTCATCGGGGCGCAACTCTGACGTCACGTGTACTTCCAGGTCGATATCAGTCGTGCACTGCGTTTTCGAAATCATAAAAAGTTGAACAATAAAAGGTCCGGACAGAACTCGTCCGGACCAGCTTGTCCGGACATTTGACGGTTCGAATAAAACATTACACGCCCTACCGTTACTGAGGGACTGGATCCCTAATATACACGACGCTCGCCAAATTGCCCAGCCTCCTCAGCCCTGTATACACTCGACTCCACCGAACCGACTGTCCGGGTCGTTATGGGCAACCGCCCCAACAAGACAGCATGGAGAACACCCTGGCGTGACAACCCTTCGCCACTGTGTTTTGTTGTGTACTGTACTTTGCAATACATCTCACTCGGTAGCGTCGGTAGCGCTCGGGGGTTTACTTTTTTTCTTGCCAGCTGACTCATTGCACTGCCTGCTGACGCAGGCAGTGCAATATATTTCCCAAACTGTAATAGCAAAAAACCAATATAACCGGCGTTGACTCATCACAAGCCATTTTGCACTGAACACCGCTTGTTTGACTGTACATATGTTGCCCGAAAATCAATTGGGGTTTTCATGAATATCATTTGTAAAAGGGCACTGCGGCTGCCGGCTCATGTGATCAGTGGACGTTTTTGTTCGTGGTGTAGAACTCGAACTTTTCTTTCACGCAAGCTGCAGCACGGTATCCCCATCGCTTTCTCCTCCGCCCACTCGCTCCTGACGCTGCCACAAAAACGCACGTTGGACAAACAAACAGAGGGGAAAACAAACCTGTAGATGGGAAATGGCCAGGGAAGATGGGACTGTTTGGGCAAGTGAAATCTGGTAAGTGGAAAATGGCTTTGGCCTGGAGAAACCCCCCAGAAACCTGGCGCACAGTGTACAGTGTACGTATCTAATTAGCCAACCCGAGGGGAGCCGGCTGGGTTTGGCAACAGTCTTGTCATGATGATATCGTCAAGGCAGGATTATCAACGTTTCGCTATAAGCAAAATGCGCAAGTTACACTGATTATTCTACTTCCTCATCAGGGTAGGCCTACCGTACCTGACACCTGATTTCTCAAGGACCCAGAACACAATGTTTGGTAAGCCTGAAGGACACAAAGTGATGCTTTATTCACCAAACGTTTTAATTTCTATTCCTCATGTTGTACACCTGGGTGCACTAAAAGTCGAGCACTCAGTACTTCCCATATTTTCAACAAATATACGATTGAATTGACTTAGGGCGTGTTCCTACAGCCCCTTATCAGGCGACCTCTTGTCAGACTTGTGCGGTTCAATGCGCTTCGATGCGATCGAATGTCATTTTGCGCGTTTCAGTGCGGTGCGACGCGAATCTGACAAGAGGTTCGCCTGATAAGAGGCAATAGGAACACACCCTTAAGGTACATTCTGCTCTGGACATGTCCCAATCGTACATGTCCCAATCGATTCAACCGCACTGCATCTTATTACACCGAATTACACCCTAGTTTCAAACATTGTCAAAATTTTCGCGTCTCTGGTTTAGTTCGGTTCGGAGCGGTACACCCAATTGGGACATGTACGATTGGGACATGTCCAGAGCGGAATGTACCCTTACATATAGAAATCATGGTGTCTGCCCTGATGCTGCTACTGCCGTGTTATTGGATGCAAAACCCCTTATGACAAATACTAGTGGTTCATACATATACTGCATACAGTCCTGTTCACTCCACGAGGGGGAATCCCTCACCCTTCCATGCCTTGAGTCCACCCTCCAAGCTGACCACCTTCGTGAAGCCCTGCAAATTCGTGTGGAGGGATGAGATCATGGGATAGGATGAAATGGTGCTAAGTGCGAAATGACTACACTTGAGGCGCCTCGAAAATCCATATTCCAAGCTGACCACCTTGGTGAGGCCATGCATTGGCGTGGAGGGATGGGATCATGGGATGGGATGGAATGGTGCTAAGTGCGGCAGGCAGACCGAGCATGAGGCTGTACATGAGGTTGTGCATGAAGCTATGCATGAGGCCCTGCATGACGCCATGCATGAGGCTATGCATGAGGCCCTGCATGACGCCATGCATGAGGCCATGCATGGCGCCATGCATGAGGCTATGCATGAGGCCATGCAGGCTATGCATGAGGATATGTATGAGGCTATGCAGGCTATGCATGAGAATATGCATAAGGCAATGACTGAGGACATGCAAGAGGCCATGCATGAGGCTATGCACAAAAGCACATGATACACAATTAGAGAAGCCGTAAAGATAAGAAAAAGGTCACAACAAGCTATCCAATGTAAGTCTCCGCTCTCCACATCCCCACACCATTCTAGGCGCAGCCAATGAGCCGAGAATCTTTGGCACTCTCCACCATGCACCTTCAGAGTGCTGTGTGCAATACATCACGCTTCAGCACACTCCCACCGACAACGATTTTTGTCGTGCGGGTTATGTCCATCATGCACATGCATCCCACGCCCGGAAAGAACCACTCATGTGCCATCTTCCCTCACGCACGTATTGCCCCCACGCCACATGTCCCACGCCAAACACAGCATTGGCCTTGTATGCGCCTTGCCCCGTGCTCCATACCGTTCGGATCCCCTTCTCAATACAGGCCTGCACCACGTGCGTTGATGCAGCAGCAGCACTCGTGTCCCACAGCGTACAACAACCTCTCGGCCCACACGCCCCCCTCCCCGCCACCCTCCCCCTTCCCCTCGCCATCACCCATCCCCGTCCCCGTCCTCTCCCCCTACCCCTACCTATCACCCAACTCCATCCCCATCCCCCTCCCCCTCTTCCTCCCCCTCCCCAACCCCATCCCAATCCCCATCCCAATCCCCATACCCATCCTCATCCCCATCCGTATCCCACGCCCATGCCCATGCCCATGCCCATCCCCATCATCCATCCCCATCACCCATTCCCATCCCCATCACCCATTCCCATCCCCATCCCATGCATTACCGCTTCCACCAGGTCTGCTGCTGCAACCGCAGCCCTCCGCCCCGCCCCGCATGACTGCACGGCCATGAGATGGAGAGGGGGAGCAGGTAGCGAGAGGAGGGCCACATGAACGGAAACAATACAGAAAATTATGGGACAGGCGAGACACTAACAACACGAGAGAAACAAGGCTCGATAGGAGGAGATGGGTCCAACATGCGGATGGGATTGACAGTCTGAAGGTGAATGCGAGGAAAGAGAGTAGTGAAGGGGCCAGCAGAGTGAAAAGCGAGCAGAAGAGTGAGAAAGGTGCAGAGGGAGGGATGTGCAGAGGGAGAGAGGTGCAGAGGCAGCAGGTAGAGTGATGGACGCACCACGACGAGGGGCGTGTCGGGCTGGAACTTGCTCCTCACGACGTCCAGAAAGTCGCTGCGCTTTTCACTGGCGCCTGGTGTGGTGAGCGAGTGATGGCATGATGGCGTGATGGGATGAGGGCCGCACAGCACCAACACACGGAAGATTGTGAGGGAGCAGGTGACGGGGTGAGCCACATGAAAGCGCAGAGCTTGCACATGTGCACGGAAGTGTGCATGCCTGAAAAAGCACGCGGTCAGATTTGCATGTGCATTGTTAGTCGAGTCCAAAGCATGCCGCATGAATTCATAAACGTAAGCATGTGCGCATGTGTGCATGTGTACACGCACGCACGCACGCGCGCGTGTGTGTGTGTGCGTGTGTGTGCATGTATGCATGTATTCATGTGCGCGTGTGAACGTGTGCGCATGTGTGCGCGCGAGTGCGCGCATGGGTGCATGTACGCATGTGTACACGTATGCAAGTGTGCATGTGACAAAGTGTGCATGTGAGAAAGTGTGCATGTGAGAAAGTGTGCATGTGAGAAAGTGTGCATGTGAGAAAGTGTGCATGTGAGCAAGTGTGCATGTGAGCAAGTGTGCATGTGAGCAAGTGTGCATGTGAGCAAGTGTGCATGTGAGCAAGTGTGCATGTGAGAACATGTGCATGTGAGCAAGCGTGCATTTTTGCACGTATGTATGTGTGTATGTATGCGTGTATGCATGTACGCGTGTGTGTATGTATGCGTGTATGCATGTACGCATGTGTGTATGTATGCATGTATGCGTGTATGCATGTACGCATGTGTGTATGTATGCGTGTATGCATGTACGCATGTGTGTATGTATGCGCGTATGCATGTACGCATGTGTGTATGTATGCATGTGTGCATGTATGCATGTGTGCATGTATGAATGTGTGCATGTACGCATGTGTGTATGTATGCGTGTATGCATGTACGCATGTGTGTAGGTATGCATGTGTGCATGTATGAATGTGTGCATGTACGCATGTGTGCATGTCCGCATGTGTGCACGCAGCGTCCACATCACCTTTATGGGGATCGCCAGTCATCACTGCGACGTTCACAGCACCTTCCACGTGGCTCTTGGCAAATTCCTCCTCCGTCCTGCCATGTCACCAAAGTGGAACGGCGGGAAGTCAGGAATGGATTGAGATTGAAAGTACAATCTCGATCGTCGGGTGTGTGGGAATTGCCTCAGGTGTGTGGGATTTGCATCAGGCGTGTGGGATTTGCGACAGGTGTGTGGGATTTGCGAACGAAAGTGCAATTTCGACCTAAGCAGCGGAACGAACGAGACTCGGAATCAAAATGGCAGAAATAAAGCGAAGTGAGCGGAGGGGTGGCAGTCGAAGGGGCTCGTTTGAATGAGACGGCGCGCGCCGCGTGACTGGTAACCAGCACAATCAGAGATTGCGTCCCTCATCGCCAACCCATTTCTAACAAGTCGGTATGACGGAATCGAGAGAGATCGCGGAAGGTGGGGAGGGCGCGCCGCGGACTACGATGGGGGCGCGGCGGAACGAACGGAGCCCGAAAGGGCGGAAAGGGCGGGAGAAGCGACCTGACGTCGAGGAAGGTGTAGGAGGTCTCGAGGAGCGCCTTGGCCTCGCGGGGCGGCACGGTGGTGAATTCCGCCATGGATGCGACGAGGCGTCGCAGCGGAACGGAGGCAGCTGCTCGGGTGAAGCTGGCGGCGCTCGCTGCTATGCGGCTGGCTCGCTGCTTGCGAAAGTCAGGATGCAAGAGCGTGCCAGCTGCTGCTCTAAGAGCGCCGTCACGTGTGTGTCGGCGAGAAGAATGGAGAGAAGCGCGGTCGAAACCGTTGTCGTAATAATAGATCCATGAGTGGCACGATGGTGAGTTTATTATTCCGAAGGCGAGCGGGTGGAGAAGGGAGGAGGGAGGGGAGGAAAATGCTGTGCTTTTGCCTCAAGGAGACGATCCAAGATTGCTGGAGGCACACCGACTCCCTCAGCCAAATGCAGTGAACCTGGTGAGGTTGCTGCTCGTCTCGATATGGGAAGATGCGTTATGAGGTAGTATCATGCTGAATGAGGAGCCTACATCATCAGTTAAGACTGTGGATGTATGAATTGTATTGTGTACCACGTCCTGAAAAAAGAAGCTTACATAGAGATTTAAAAACAGTTTTTACACATATATTCATATTAGCAGCGCCATATTTTACTCCCAAAGTAAAATGATCAAATTCGACTGCAGCTTATCATCTCCGCCAGCCTAGCCAGAAGTAAATAAATAAATTTGTGTAGATTTCCTTAACGAGGATGTTCCGAAGTTTCTGCGTTAGTTGGTTCGGACACAATTTCGCCCCGAACTACTCCCGAGGCGCCACCGCACCAACCGTCACCTCCCCTAGCCTCGGTTACCCCGACGTCCACACCCAGCTCGGCTCTGGCTATTTCTAGAATCATTATTCTTCCATTCAGGGCTCTTCAGTACAAATTCTGTAGTCCCTGAGTGTAGTTCAGCCCGTTTGTGAAACCCGCGCAGTCATAACAATTTGCTGTATATACACCCAATTTGTTAGTGTACGAAGCTACTCTCCGCGTTCTCCGCCTTTCTCGGCTGCCATTTCTTGCACTTCTTCCTCACCCTTCCTCCCATTCAGTCGTTTTATCTTCATACCTTCCCACAACACCACACTCCAACTTCTCAGCGCTCACACTATGGCTGCTGTACCCGTAGCGCGTTCCCCGCTTCCCTTTACCACACTATCGCCGCAGATCCTTCCCTCTCAAACTCCTCGTTCTCCCTCAGTAAGAGCATCGCCTGCATTTTCGTCTCCGCCACAGCAATTCTTTCCCCACCGCCGCTCGACCGTTTCTTGGCCCTGCGCTTCAGCCTCGCCGCCAGTCGTCGCCGCGTTGCCTTCTCTTAGCCAACGACATTTCACCCCGCGAGCAGCTTCTCAGCGTTCCTCGTTCTCGACGCGCTTCGGCTCGTCGCTCCCGCGCGGCTGTCGCCACGGGGCATCCCGCGTGGACCGTACGTCGCGAACTTCTCGTCGCCTATGCGATCCTGGCGATGTAGACGCTGCGATATTTCGTGGCGGGAGCCGTGAAACGCGACTGCAGCGGCGACATGGAACGACTTGCAGCGCGCAAAGCGACCCACACAGCGGCCAAGAGCCGTCCTCGTTATTGAGTTCCTCGCAGGAGGAGCATAGACCGAGGAAATCTCAACAGCTTCTGGCTACATTCTCGTCTTTATCGTCCCCCTCAGCTCCGTTAAAAGCGGCGGGCGCGGCGGTGGCGACAGCGACGGCCATTTGGCTCGCGACTGCCCTCCGCTCCACTGGCGTGCTGCCACGTGTCTCACTCAGATCGCTTCTGCTCCCGCCTCCCGCCCACGCTGCTGTGATAACCGCAGCTGACCCCAAACCGAGTAGGCTAGCCTCAGTCGCGGTGGACACTAAGGATAGCAAGCCCGGTTCGGATGCCAGAGCTGCGCCGGAGGCTCGGGCCGAGGCTGGGGAGGTAGTACTGAGTAGATCAGTGCAGCAAAAAGAGCAAGGGATTCAAGAGCAGCAACAACAGCAGCAGGGCCAGTTGAAACAGCAGCAGCAGCAGCAGAAGGCACCTCAGAGGCGTCAGTATTACGAAGTGCAGGGCGGCAGACGGGGGGGAGTGGCGCCAGCGCGGTACACAGCGGTGGTGAGGTTTCCCAAGGCGTGCGGCATCCTCGTGGGCACGCCCGTGCGCATGCGAGGCATCGCCGTAGGCTCGGTGGTGGCGGTCCGGCCGAGCCTGACGAGCGTGGACGTGGTGGTGGAGATTCTCGACGAGGACATAGTGATTCCGCGCGGCACGCCTATATTCGTTAACCAGTCGGGGCTTATAGCGGAGACGCTTATAGACATGACGCCGCTGCTGCCCATTCCCGAGTATGACGCGGGTCCGAGGGATGCGGGGTGTAGGGAGGAGGGGGTGATAGTGTGTCATAGGGAGAGGGTGGAGGGGGAGATAGGGGTGAGTATGGATGAGATGGTGCGGCTGTATGTGAAGATGGGGCGCGATGCTGAGAGGGAGAAGGCGAAGAGGAGTGTGGGGGGTGGTCGGGTGGTGGTGAAGAGTAAGCTTTGAGGGTTGAAAGGAAGACAGAGGAAGGAAGCTGTGGGACAGAAGAGGAGAAGGCTATGGGACGAGAGGGTAGGCGGTTGGGGGACACGGGGATGGGACGGCGAGAATGTGCAGATTGAGTTTTGCTTTTCGTGAGAATGAGACAGAATGAGGCAAGAGGGCATGAATGTGGCGCTGCTTGGGTAGTTGAGCAACTGAGGGAGCAATAAAGGCGTGACGTGACGACTGGCAGGGCGGCAGGCACACAGAAGGGGCCGAGATGGGCAACGGAGGTGGAGGGATGGCGTGGAGGAGAGGGAGAGTGGCGAAGGACAAGGCGTGAGAGCAGATAGGAGAGGGTGTGGAGTGGCGCGCAGGTCTGTGGCTCTCCCTGAGGGTGTAACGGAGGGGTGGTGTGGAGGAGAGGGAGAGTGGCGAAGGGCGAGGCGTGGCAGAAGATAGGAGAGGTTGTGTGAGGTGGTGGTGGTAAGCAGGTCAGTGGCTCCCTGCGCACTAGGCTGTGGCGGCTGGATTGGGGGGCAATTGGTAGAGTAGGGAGAGGGTTGGCGCTTGACTCTTGTTTGGAAGCGAGGGCTGCTCAAGTGCTGCTATATGGCTCCAGCTGCTGCTGCACTCGTTTGTCATATAGGCTCTGCTCGCTTTGAAGCTCTTGAGCTGCTGCCGAAGGCCATGCTCAGCGCTGTGGTGGTTACTGGAACCACAGTGCGGACTTGCTGCGGGGAGGCAGGCATGCAGATGCAGGCAGTTGCTGCTCCACATTCACACGTGCTCTGGGTTTTGTTTTCACCACGAAGCATCGCTTAGCCTTGAGGGGTTGACTTAGCCATGAGTTTGGATAGTGGTCAGCTTTTGCTGGCATCAAGGTGCAATCCATTACTTTGGCGTGGATGGTGTAGATTCAGTGCGTTGGATCTTGTGGTGGGGATTTGCCAACACTCATGTCCGCATACTAAAAGGCCTGTGTTGCCGCCCACGGCTCATCATTAGCTTTTCTATAGCTTGATCGAGCTGACACGGCGATACCCCTCTCTGCACAATGTATGCAGGAGTATGATTGATGTCTGCAGGACAGCAACCAATGTTAGTGAATCGGAACGAGTCATTGCGAGCAGCACTTTTGTCTGCCACTCCGTACTACAACTCGTCGTGGTGAAACAACTTATCAAACGCATCGTTCTCCTCCTCACCATCCCCCTCCATCCCATCATACGCCATATCCTCCTCTGCCCCCTCCATCCCATCCTCCCCCATTTCCCCCTCCATCCCCCCTTCCCCTACCCCCCCCTCCATCTCCCCATCCTCACTCTCTTCCTCCTCCTGGTCGTCCAGAGGCGAGGGCTCCAGGTGGAATTCAGTGGAGGCGTGGTCCTTGATGGCTTGGATGAACTCCTTGAGGGTGCGTGCAGCCACCTTCACCTGTTGGTCATGGGAGACAGGCACATGAGGTGCGCGCACACACACGGGAGAGACATGAGAGGGCACACCGGCTTCATCAAGCTCAGTGGTGGCATGGTCGTTGATGGTTTGAATGAACTCGTTCAGCGTACCTGCAGCCACCTTCGCCTGTTGGTATTGCAGGTGCACACACAGCATGAGCCCACACAGCCACAAACAAGTATGCACTGTTCAGAGACATGAACAGACACGACCGCACAACCTCTCTAGTCTCTTCCATGCTGTACAACACTTGCCATGTGTGCACATGCGCTCCACACATGCACTCCACACATGCACTCCACACATGCGCTCCACACATGCACTCCACACATGCGCTCCACACATGCACTCCACACATGCACTCCACACATGCACTCCACACATGCAAGCTAAGGCGTTGCAATGGCAGTATTTGAAAGCATGATGGTGGCCGCTGTCCACCCCACAACATGGCAGCCTGTGATGCAAGCAGCACAGCAGGCAGCACGGGCAGGCAAAGGCCATGTAGGGCTGGTCTCACCGGGTCTGTCTTTTTCCCCGCGGGGTAGAAGACGATGGTGGGGAATCCCTCCACCTGCAGAACGACCCACAGCGAGTGGGAGAGCGAGGGAGAGGGATAGAGAGGCAGAGGGACAGAGAGGCAGAGGGACAGAGAGGCAGAGGGACAGAGAGGCAGAGGGACAGAGAGGCAGAGGGACAGAGAGGCAGAGGGACACAGAAGAAGAGAGGCACAGAAACAGAGGCGTGGAGGTCACGTGCAGGTTCTATTGGGTTCTATCGGGTTCTATCAGGTTCGTACTGACACTGAAAAAGGCTCTAGGACACAACTATAGGAAAGGAAAGAAACCACTTGGGTGAGCAAGGGATGGGACAAGAGAAGTCGAGTGGAGGGCATGAGGATGGGGGAAGTAGGGGGGAGTACGAGAGGAGGGGAGGGAGCATGAGAGGAGGGGAAGGAGCATGAGAGGAGGGAAGGAGCATGAGAGGAGGGGAAGGAGCACGAGAGGAGGGGAGGGAACACGAGAGGAAGGAAGGGAGAAGAAGAGGAGGGGAGGGGGCAGGGGAGGAGGGGAGGGAGCAGAAAAGGAGGGGAGGGAGCACGAGAGGAAGGGAGGGAGGAGGGGAGGGAGGAGGGAAGGGAGGAGGGGAGGGAGCAGAGGAGGAGAGGAGGGAGCACCACAGGGAGGGAGGAGGGGAGGAGGGGAGGGAGGAGGGGAGGGAGGAGGGGAGGGAGGAGGGGAGGGAGGAGGGGAGGGAGGAGGGGAGGGAGGAGGGGAGGGAGGAGGGGAGGGAGGAGGGGAGGGAGGAGGGGAGGGAGGAGGGGAGGGAGGAGGGGAGGGAGGAGGGGAGGGAGGAGGGGAGGGAGGAGGGGAGGGAGGAGGGGAGGGAGGAGGGGAGGGAGGAGGGGAGGGAGGAGGGGAGGGAGGAGGGGAGGGAGGAGGGGAGGGAGGAGGGGAGGGAGGAGGGGAGGGCGTGCCTCTAGGCCGGGGTACTCGTTAGCAGTGCCATCCATCTTGGCAATAACCACTGACTGCACCGCACTGAACCGCTCTGCCAGCCTCTTGTACGTGGGCTCGAGCTGCTGGCAGTGGCCGCACCAGGGAGCATACACCTGGCGGATTTGGAGAGAGGGTCGAGTGGGACAAGCGGGACGGATGGGGGGAGAGGGGCGAGTGTGGGAAGAGTGGCGAGTGGGGAGAGAGGGGTGAGTGGGGAAAGAGGGGTGAGTGGGGAGAGAGGGGTGAGTGGGGAAAGAGGGGTGAGTGGGGAAAGAGGGGTGAGTGGGGGGAAAGAGGGGCAATTGGAGTGAGTGGGGTGAGCTGGGCGATTAAGACAAGCGGGACGAGTAGGGGAAGAAGAGGGAGAGGGGGGAGAGGGGCGAGTGAGGAGGGGGGGCGAGTGAGGCAGGAAGGACGAGTGAGAGGGGAGGGGCGAGCGGGGAGAGGGGCAAGTGTGGGGGAGGGGCGAGTGGGGAGAGAGGGGCGAGTGAGGGGGGAGGGACGAGACGGAATATGATATAACGAGGGGAGTCGAAGAGAGTGGGAAAAGAGTGGGAAGCGGCACAGCAGGAAAGACAGAAACGGTGGGACAGGTGAGGAAGGTGTGGGGTGTGGAGTTACACGTGCAGAGCCATGCAACAGTTGCTCGAAATCTGCAGACAGATAATGAGTGTTCAATGCTCATGACTGTTTAGAATTCTCAAGACACTTTTGAGAATTCTCAAGAGGGGCGAGGAGCTAAAGAGTGCTCAGTCATCATAATTAAACACTACTTCAGGATATCGAGTACAAAATCCGTGCATGCCCCTCTCACCCCACTCCTCTCCAACCGCCCCTCTCACCCACCATGCCCCGCCCAAATGCACCTCCAGCAGCACGTCTCTGGTATCGTCCAGCACAATGCGCTCAAACGAGTCCCCCACCACCACCATTACTGCTTCCTCCTTATTCCGGTGATCCCATTCAATGTCCACATACTCTCAACACCCTCTCACCCTACCCCTCTCACGCACTCCCACACCCACTCTCCTCACGCGCACCTCCAGCAGCACGTCTCTGGTGTCGTCCAGCACAAAGCGCTCAAACGAGTCTTCCCTCCCCTCCTGCCCCCCGCACCACGACCACAACAGCTGCCTTCCCCTTGGTCCACCCACCTTGCCCATTAACGCACCTCCAGCAGCACGTCTCTCGTGTCGTCCAGCACAATGCGCTCAAACGAGTCCCCCACCACCACCGCCACTGGCCCCTCATTCTACCACCGCCGCGCATGAAGGGTGGAAAGGCGGGAGGAGGGAGAGGGGTTTGAAGGTGGGAAGGTGAGGAGGAGAGGCAAAGAAAGGGTCAAACGAGTCCCCCACCACCACCACCACCGCCACTGGCCCCTCATTCTGCCACCGCGGTGCATGAGGAGCGGTAGGGTAGGAGGCAGGTGTGGGATGGAAGGGGGATGGCGGGTGAGGAGTGGAAGAGGAGACGTGAAGAGGTAGCCAGCATCCCCCGCCAGCATCCCCCTGCCAGCATCCCCCGCCAGCATCCCCCGCCAGCATCCCCCGCCAGCATCCCCCGCCAGCATCCCCCGCCAGCATCCCCCTGCCAGCATCCCCCGCCAGCATCCCCCGCCAGCATCCCCCGCCAGCATCCCCCGCCAGCATCCCCCGCCAGCATCCCCCGCCAGCATCCCCTGCCAGCATCCCCCGCCAGCATCCCCCTGCCAGCATCCCCCCGCCAGCATCCCCCTGCCAGCATCCCCCGCCAGCATCCCCCGCCAGCATCCCCCGCCAGCATCCCCCGCCAGCATCCCCCGCCAGCATCCCCCGCCAGCATCCCCCGCCAGCATCCCCCGCCAGCATCCCCCGCCAGCATCCCCCCGCCAGCATCCCCCGCCAGCATCCCCCCACCAGCATCCCCCGCCAGCATCCCCCGCCAGCATCCCCCGCCAGCATCCCCCCGCCAGCATCCCCCGCTAGGGATGAGCAAAGGGCGAACACGAACATGTTCGTCTTCGCCCCTTGTCGAACACCCTCTTTTGCCGAACCGAACACTGTTCGGTTCGGCGAACAGTTTAGGAAAAAACAGGTGTTCACTGTTCGCCTGTGGAGGCGTGTTCGGGCGAACCTCGAACACTGTTCGTGTTCGTCGCGGGCAAATTTCAGCAGCGGCCCGAACACGAACGTGTTCGGGCGAACATCGAACACTGTTCGGCGAACGATTTGAGCTAAAAAACAAAACCTGTTCGGTTCGCCTCGAACACCTTGCTCATCCCTATCCCCCGCCAGCATCCCCCGCCAGCATCCCCCCGCCAGCATCCCCCGCCAGCATCCCCCGCCAGCATCCCCCGCCAGCATCCCCCCGCCAGCATCCCCCGCCAGCATCCCCCGCCAGAAAGAGGGCAGGAATGGAGACCTCGCAAACTGTATGAACAGTGAAGGAGTTAGGGTGTATGTTGAAAGGATTTCTAAAGACCCAGAGGGATACGATCTCTAACTGGTATGAGATGCAATCCATTTTCCCCAAGACCCCAGAGCATGAGAGATTGTCTTAAGCAGCTTGGCGGCTGAGAGAAAGAGAGACCGGTTCTCAACGTCAGCCTCGATATTGACAAGCTCACAAGTTGCTGACTTTTGAGGCGCCTCAAAAGCTGACAAGCTCACTGTTCAAAAAGTTCTGACCTCCTCCGGGATGGGCTGTGACTTGAAGAAGGGCTTGAGACGGCCGTCAATGAAGCTCTGCGTGAAGGCCTGCGAGGAGGGGAGCAAGCAGGGAGAAGAGAAAGAGAGAGACAGGGAGAGGAGAGGGAATGAGGAGAAAGTCCTATTGCTACACAGAAAGGAGTTTGTTCATTCCGTATTGCTACACACGACCAGATCTGATACCATGGGGGGCATGAGATTTCCTTGTCGAGGATTGAGAAATGAAACAAAACGGCAGCAGCATGATTTGCAGAGGCAAGAGCAGATGCAATGCAAGCGCACTGACCTTGATGTTATCTGCTGTGGGGTGGTCTGTCATGCGGTATTTGAGCCCTGCTGCTGGCACTGACGGGTCCTCACCTCCTCCCATGGTGAACCCCATAAACTGAACACACACACGGACAGGCATGCACACACACCACATTGGCAGCCATGCACACACACGGGCAGACATGCACTCATAAGGCAAGTGATGTGAGCATGTGGAATGGAAGCGAGTGACACATGACAGCACATGACAGCACATGACAGCACATGACAGCACATGACAGCACATGACAGCACATGACAGCACATGGAGCTCATTGCGGCATGCAGCAGCACAGAGGGCAGCAGCAGCCATGTTCTCATGGCAGTGGTGGAGGCGTCTGCTCCAAAATACTCTTTCACGGTGAGAGCAGCACAGAGAGAGCAGCGCAGAGAGAGCAGCACAGAGAGAGCAGCACAGAGAGAGCAGGGAGAGAGAACAGCACAGAGAGAACAGCACAGAGAGAACAGCGCAGAGAGAACAGCGTAGAGAGAACAGCACAGCAGTCATGCGCTCACCACAGTGGAGGGGGGTGTATTCAAAACACTCACGGCAGTGGTGGAGGCGTCTGCTCCAAAGTACTCTTGCACGGGTTGTGACTCGGGGTCAGAGGCGTTCACAAACACAAACATGGCCTGTGGCACAGGGAAAAAAGGGGTGGGTGGAAAGACAGCAAGGCGGCGAGACGGGAAGGTGGGACGGAATGGACTGATGGGCGATAGCATGGCAGTTGTGGTGGAGGAAATGCGTGCTCATGCATGCAATGCGTGCTCATGCATACAATGCGAGCATCACGAGAGACAGTCAACAGGAACGACATGTTGCAGCTTTTGATGACAATGGCCAGGTGGGCTGCGGAGGCCTTACTTCCCCAATTGCTTTAGAAGGAAAGCACGTTTCAGATGGAAAAGTGAGCCTGGTTAGGTGAGTGCTTCTGCGTTTTAACTAGCCAGTGCGTATGCAGTCTCTGTAAATCATAATCATGATCAGAATCAGAATCAGAGATTGCGTAAACTAGGTTTAGGGTTTAGCAGTAAGTACATGTCTGTGAAATGTAGAGGGAAATGTGAGCTCATGCAAGCATCCAGAGCGAAAGTCAACAAGGAACGTCATGCTGCAGCGGGTGTTTACTTGCTGCCAACTGATGTCCTTTCTCTTGGGACGCATGAGGGTGGGAGGCACGAGGGTGCGAGGACTGCAAGCAAGAGCTCCTGGCATGGACGAAAGAGGCACAGCACGCACCTGGCCTTTGAAGTGCTTGGCTGCTGCAAAAAGTGGGGGCGAGAGCTCCTTGAACGCACTGTCTGATGCAAACAGCAGCACCTGACAGGGAGGGAAGGAGAGGACGCATTTAAGAGGACACCTGCCCCACAACCGCCCCCCCCCCCTCACTCATCTCCCCCTCCCCTCACTCATCTCCCCCTCCCCTCACTCACTCATCTCCCCCTCCCCTCACTCATCTCCCCCTCCCCTCACTCACTCATCTCCCCATTCCCTCACTCACTCATCCCTATCTCCCCTCACTCGCATCCCCCTCCCCTCACTCATCCCCCCTTCCATACCAAATCGCCCCTTCCTCTCCTCTCCTCCTTCGATGCTTTGTCACTCCACACCTCGCCACCTCCATTTGACACGGCCTTTCTGTAGTGCCCCCTCTGACACCATTGAAAAGCGTACAACGGAAAATGTTGGCTTTCTGTTGGCTTTCTGTTGGCTTTCTGTTGGCTTTCTGTTGGCTTTCTGTTGGCTACCTTACCAGACTTAACAAACAATCACCGAATACGGTACGAAACCCTGCTTATGATAAGGCCTTCTGCACGTCTCTGACACCTCGTGCCATGCACCCACCTCGTCTCATGCCCTGCCTCACATCGTTCCTGCATTAACTCATGCACCCATCTCGTCCCCCCTGTGTGCACTCCACCCAACCTCACTCCATGCACCCACTTCACCCCATCCCATGTATGCACTCACCTCACCCCATGCACCCACCTCACCCCATGCACCCACCTCATCCCATGCACCCACCTCATCTCATGCCACGCACTCACGTCACCTCACCCCATGCAACCGTCTCACCTGCCTGCCAATCTGGCTTGAGAAGATGGCAGCGGAGACCTTCTCTGTGTATGTCAGCAGCAGCGGCAGCCACCCCACCCCACCCCACCCTACCCCACCTCACCCCATGCACTCATCCCACCCCACCTCACCCCACCTTATGCACCCACCTCACCCCATGCACCCACCTCACCCCATGCACCCACCTCACCCCATGCACCCACCTCACCCCATGCACCCACCTCACCCCATTCACCCCTCTCACCTGCTTGCCGATGGGGGAGGAGAAGATGGCAGTGGAGGTCTCCTCTGTGTACGTAAGCAGCAGCGGCAGCCGGTTGGCCGCCAGGAACGCACTGATGGCGTCCTTGCTGTACTCGCCGTCTGTGCATGGGGATGGGGGTGTGTGTGTGGCGGGGAGGGGATGGGAGAGTGGGGAAGGAGGGAAGTGACTGTAGACTTGACTTAAAGCCAGGAACGCGCTGATGCCCTCCTTGCTTGTTTTCCTCACCATCTTGAGGGGGAGGGGTAGGTAGAGGAGGGAAGAGGGGGAGAGATGGGGGAGGGGTGGGGAGAGGGGGGGGGAAGGTGGGAAGAGGTGGGAGAGGTGGGGAGAGCTTTGGAAAGAGGGGGGAAAGGTGGGAAGAGGTGGGGAGAGGTAGGCAGAGGTGGGGAGAGGTGCTACGAGAGTCTGGGACCTCCTTGCGGCACTCGCTGTTTAATGGAGCGAGGAGTGTGTGTGTGTGAGTGTGGGCGTATGTGTGGGCAGGGCATGTGTGCGATGCGCGTGTGCAAGCATGTGCATGCGCGTATGCATGTGTGTGTGTGTCTGCGTGTGTGTGTGTTTGTGTGTGTGTGTGTGACTGTGCATGTGTGTGTGAGTGTGAGTGTGTGTTTTGTGTGTGTGTGTGTGTGTGTGTGTGTGTGAGTGTGTGTGTGTGTGTGAGTGTAAGGTGGGTAGGGTAGGGTAGGGGAAGGGTGTTGAACATCGATCATTCTACTATGTCACCACTGACAGACCCACAAATCCCCATCCCGCCAACCCAGGCCCAAATACAGCCCGTACGATTGTAGAGAATTCTCAAATCCAGCCCCTCGGCTCAGCTCAGACCTCACAATGCCACCAAGCACCTGCATGCAGCGAGGTGCACTCACCAAACACCACCAGCCTCTCCTGTGTGTGGAGTAAGGAGCGAGGCACGGCTGTGGACCCTGCTGTGTGCAAAGCACCCGCATGCAGCAAGGCGCATTGTGCACTCACCGAACACCACCAGCCGCTCCACTTCCTTCTTCACCACAGCCAGGGCGGGCGGCTCGCCAGCTGGCAGGCCGAAGGCGGCTGCCACGTCAGCGTGCGTGGTGACGAAAAAGTCCACCCCTTCCGTGTCCCTCGCTGCCTCGCCGAACGCTGCTGCCTCCCCGCCCTGGTGGGAGAGAAAGCGGGAGGAGGTGAGGGGAGGAGAAAGGGAGGGGAGGAGGAAGGGAGGGGAGGGATGAGGGGAGGGGAGAGGGAGGAAGGGAGCAGAGGGATGAGGGGAGGGGAGGGATGAGGGGAGGTGAGGGGGATGAGGGGAGGGGAGAGTGATCAGGGGAGGGAAAGGGAAGGAAGGGAAGGGAAGGGGAGGGGAGAGGAGGGGAGGGGAGGAGGGGGATGAGAGGAGTTACGAGAGAAGGGTGGAGGATAGCGGATGGAGAAGGGATCAGGGAGGTAGGAAGAGGGCGAAAAGAAGGGAGGGTGGGAAGAAAGGAGGGAGGGAGGGAGGGAGGGAGAGAGGGAGGGAGGGAGGGAGGGAGGGAGGGAGGGAGGGAGGGAGGGAGGGAGGGAGGGAGGGAGGGAGGGAGGGAGGGGGGGAGGGAGGGAGGGAGGGAGGGAGGAAATGTGGCATGGCACTTGACAATACATTCACAAATTCCCGACCATGTTTCTCTGAATCTGCCTGCCTGTCCGCCACTCCCCCTCTTCCTCTCTCCGCCCCCACCTCTCTCCCCTCTCAAGCAGTCCTTCATTGATCATTATAAAGGTAAATGCAGGGCAGACAGTATGTCCCGGGCATGCTAAGCAATGCGAGCAGGGTGGGGCCACACGCCACCCCTCTCCCTCTTCCCCCTCCACCCTTGTCCCCCCTTCCCCCCCTCCCCGTTAACGGCACACAGCGCATGCACCACACAGCGCTCACGTCAAGAGTGACCACGAAGGCAATGGCAGCGGCGGCGGTGCTCTCAATGAGCGACACCACCTTGGGAATGTCGGCTGGCGCCAGAGCCGTCACACCCAGGCCCAGCTTGCCCTTCACCCACCCACCGCATTGCACCGCACTGCACCGTACTGCACCGTACTCCACCACATCACACTCACATCAAGGGAGGGCACCAGGGCGATGGCAGCGGCAGCAGCGCTCTCGAGCAGTGTGGGCACCTTGGGAATGTCGGCTGGCGCCAGCGCCGTCACACCCATACCCAGCTTGCGCTTCACCCACCGCACCATCTCCGCGCTGCAGCAGCGGGCAGCAACGAGGGGAGCGAGGGGAAAGCAGCGGGCAGCAACGAGGGGAGCGAGGGGAAAGCAGCGGGCAGCAACGAGGGGAGCGAGGGGAAAGCAGCGGGCAGCAACGAGGGGAGCGAGGGGAAAGCAGCAGCAGCAGGAGCGGGTAGAGCGGGGCACGCGAGAACGAGGGGAGTGGGAAGGTGAGGTTTTTGCAGGAAGAGTGTGAGTTGAAAGGTCAGATTTGAGCAAAGAGCACAGATGGAACTGATTGTGCGAGGGGGTTTGCGAATGAGGCGCCTGTGAGAGATTGAGGCTGGCCTTTCCTCATCACACGCGCGCGCAGCACACGGGTGGTGCGAACGAGATCGATTTGTTTGAGAGAGTGTACCTGGTTCGCCCCGCGCCGAACGGCTGGAATTCGCCATCCGTGGCGAAAAGGATGGTCGGGTAACCATCCACGTTGTATTTGTCGGCGAGCTCCGTTTCTTTCGTCGCGTCCACCTTTGCGAAGAGCACGCCGAGCTCCTTGAGCGTCGCCGCTGCTTCGCGATACTCGGGCGCGAGGGCCCGGCAGTGGCCGCACCACGGCGCGTAGAACTCCACCATCACGTGCTTGTGATCGCTGACGGCCTGCGAAAACGTCGCCGCCGTCAGTGCGACGACGTCGCCGTCGTCGCCGGCCGGGATGTCGTCGTCGTCGCCTGCGTCGTCGCCTGCGTCGTCGTCCTCGTCGTAGGCGTACCGCTCGTCGTCGAATTCTTCGGCATTCGCGATGAGCGGACGCCTAGCGAAGGGCTGCGAAACTACTGCGAGAACGAGTAGAGAAAGAAGGACGACGAGATACGCTCGCCCTCGGCTCATGGCAACTAGCCGCGCGAGAGCGACGCACGCCAAAGTAGCTCGTCCACACGAGCCGCGAACGTTAGCCTGCTGAAGAACTGTGAAAATAAGGTGCAATCGCAAGTCGCACTACCTCGTTGGAGCAGATCTGGAGTCGCGGTTTCTGGTTGTCCTAGGCGGGGACTGAGAGATCGAGGACACACACATGCGCTTGAGCAACCTTCTACAATCAGTTCCTAAGTGTACTACGCATGAAACGGAACAAGCTAACTTGGAGGTAACTACAGTATAAAGGCAAAAGCTAGAGCTAACATTACATAAAGAGAAATACAGATTTGATAGCAGCAGGAGATCTGCAAGTATATGGGGTTTGCTACATTTCTGGCACCAACTTTAGGGAATTTCAAAAATCATATAGTCAGGATATATAAAGAACAAATTATCAAAATAGCGTGCACAGTGATGCGCGAGCTAAGCTCGACAAGTGGTAATCGGTGAAGAACATCCACTGACCATTCAACACGTTTTGCTGAGCATGGCATAAAGTGAGAAGATTGTGCTTGTTGCGCAAGCTTGTGCATGTGTATCTGTCTATTGTATGTGTGTGTGTATGTGTGTGTGCGTGTATGTGTGTGTGTACGTGCGTGTGTGTGTGTATGTGTGTATATGTGTGTGTGTGTGTGTGTGTATGTGTGTGTGTGTGTGTGTGTGTGTGTGCGTGCGTGTGTGTACGTGCGTGCGTGCGTATGTATGTGTGTGTATGTGTGTATATATATATGTGTGTGTGTGCGTGCGCGTGTGCGTATGTGTGCGTGTGCGTGTATGTGTGTGCGCGCGCGTGTGCGTATGTGTGTGTGTGCGTGTGTGTGTATGTGTGTGTCTGTGCATGTATGCATGCGCGTACGCATGTGCATGCGTGTGTGTGTGTGTGTATATGTGTATGCACGTATGTTTATGTGTGTGTGTATGTGTGTATATTAGTGTGCATGTATGCGTGTGTGTAAGTGTATATGCGTATGCACGGGTGTGTATATGTGTGTGTGTGTGCGTGCGTGTGTGTGTGTATTCGTGCGTATGTATGTACATGCGTGCGTGGTCGTGTGTCTGTGTGTATGTGTGTACGTGTGACCGCACATGTGTGTATGCATTTGCGTGCGCACGAATGGTTATTTGTGGGTGCGTGGGTATGCGTGTATGTATGTGTGTATGGGTGCGTGCATGTATGTATGCATATGTTGTCAAACTATAATGCTACTTGTGTTGTGTAGGCTATAGTGGGGTAGCCTATATAGGGTACAACCCAATTAGGGTTATACTTGTACTCAGTTTGATGTCAATGCAATCATTCCTGCTCGTTAGTTTCTGACATGGTTTCAGAGCAGTAGGTCCGTAGGACCGTTTTTTTTTTCGGGCCCACCATTACTTAGTGACCGACTACGGTTACCGCATTACTCCACACCCTGCCCTGCGCTGCGCCTATAGCGCGCGCCCTGCCGTGCCCTGCCTTGCGTCGCGCTGCCCCGCGCACGCCCTGCCCTGCCCCGCGTCGCGCTGCCCCGCTCGCGCCCTGCTGCCCTGCGTGTCGCGCCCTGCTGCAGCCCGCACGTCGCGCCTTGCTGCCTTGCACGTCGCGCCCTGTTGCCTTGCGCGTCGCGCCCTACGTCTGCCCTGCGCGTTGCGACCTGCTGCAGCCAGCGCGTCGCGCCTTGCTGCCCCGCACGTCGCGCCCTGCTGCAGCCCGCGTGTCGCGCCCTACTACCCCGCGCGTCGTGCCCTGCTGCAGCCCGCGCGTCGCGCCCTGCTGCCCCGCGCGTCGCGCCCTGCTGCAGCCCGCGCGTCGCGCCCTGCTGCAGCCCGCGCGTTCCGCCCTGCTGCAGCCCGCGCGTCGGGCCCTCCTGCAGCCCGCGCGCCGCGCCCTGCTGCCCGCGCTTCGCGCCCTGCTGCAGCCCACGCGTCGCGCCCTGCTGCCCTGCACAGCGCGCGCCCTGCTGCCCGCGCTACCCAGGCCGAGTCGCGCCGCCCAGCCCAAGCAGCCCTGCCCAACCTGATCCACCCTGCTGGTGCTGCTGCTACTGCTGGTGGAGGTACTGCTCGGAGTGCTGGAGGTGCTGTAGCCTATCTCAGAATCCCAACCACTAGACCATTGGGATAAAAGGGCTTGTTTCAGTAGCGGGTCAGTGCGCCCATAACCCCCCAGGCAAACGTGCCTGTAACCCTTCCCTAGGATCGATCGGGGATCACCAGTGGACCTCTGACACCCCCCCGCACTGGGATGCCCGAAGTGCATACACCAGGATTCGAAACCCGAGACCTTCGCTCTGGATACCATCTCAGAATCCCAACCACTAGACCATTGGGATAAAAGGGCTTGTTTCAGTAGCGGGTCAGTGCGCCCATAACCCCCCAGGCAAACGTGCCTGTAACCCTTCCCTAGGATCGATCGGGGATCACCAGTGGACCTCTGACAGCCTAGCCTCACCGAGCTGCTCTGCTGCTATTAGTGCTGCTATTGCTGCTCGTGCTATTGCCTTCCCTCCGTACTGCCCTACTGGTCGCCCTCCTCCTTACTTGGCCCGCTATGACTTCTCTTCGTGGTAGCGGTCGGAGCGGTGACGGCGGTGGTGACAGCAGCTGGAGTGGTGGCGGCGCCCGTCGTGGCAGTCGCGGTGGAGCTGTTCGGTGTGGAGTTTCTGGCGGTGGCCAGATGCAGCTGCTGCGGCGTCCGCGCGAGACCCCTACGCCCCAGCAACTTTGTGAGTGGTACGCCAGTAGGTGTGGTGGCGGCGGCCGTAGTAGCAATCGTAGTGGAGCTGTTCAGTAAGGAGTTTCTAACGGTGGCCAGATGCAGCTGCAGCGGCGTCCGCGAGACCCTTACGCCCCAGCAGCTTCGTGAGTGGTACGCTAAGAGTGGGGGGACTTGGAGTACTGTCCGCTGTCCGTACGTCATTCGCATAGGTGATCGGGCTGGTCAGACTTGCGGGACACTTGGTCATACACAGGCTCGCTGCTTCGCCTGTCTGAGCTGTCAAAAATTATATATGTTGTGGTTGTTTAGGCTACAGTGGGTTAGCCTATAGGGGGTACACAATTCTAGGGTTAGGTACTTGTACTCATTTTCACTCTTAGTTCAATCATTCCTGTTCGTTCTTTCTAACATGGTTTCAGAGCAGGTCCTTCGCTAGGACCGTTTTTTTTAGGGCCCACCACTACTGCCTACCTACCTACCTACATGCGCCCTAGTGCGCCTCATTTTTCACGGCCCCCTAAGGCCCCGCGACCCGCGACCCGCCCCTTTAGCGACCCGCGCGCCGCCCCTTAAGGCCTAGTCGCCTTCACGCGCCGCCCCTTAGCGGCCCCGTCGGCCCCGCGTTCGTCCCCCTAGAGGCCCCTTACGGCCCCGTGCTCGCCCCTAGAGGCCCCTTACGGCCCCATCGCAGCCCCTTAGCGACCCCGTCGGCCCCGCGATCGCCCCTAGCGGCCCTGTCGAACTCGCGTGCCGCCCCTTAGCGGCCCCGTCGGCCCCGCGCTCGCCTCCCTAGAGGCCCCTTAAGGCCCCGTCGCCGCCCTTTAACGGCCCCGTCGGCCCCGCGCTCGCCCCTAGAGGCCCCTTACGGCCCTGCGCTCGCCCCTAGAGGCCCCTTACGGCCCCGTCACCGCCCCTTAGCGGCCCCTTGCCGGCCCCGCGTTCGCGCCTTAGAGACCGAGCCGCTCCACGTGCGACCGCCACGGCCCCTCCAGGACCGAGCCGCCCGAACCTAACCGCCCAGTCCGAGCCGAGCCGCGCGACCCGAACCGAGCCGCGCCGCCATACCCGAGCCGCGACGCCCTACCTGAACCAAGCCGCGCTGCCCGTACTGAGCAGCCCCTGTGGACCGAGCCGCCCTACCTGTCTCACACTGCTTACAGCTTCTAGGGTGCTCCCACTGCTACTGCTACTGCTGCTCCCACTGCTCCTATGGCTAGCCCACCTGTGCTAGCTTTCGATACAGAGGGCCGCCCAGTGAAGTTTTACACCTGGCTAGATGACCTGCACCTCTTCCTACAGCTCAATGCAAAGGAGGACATCTCACTGTACGATCACGCCCTAGGCCATGCCACTGCACCTGCTACTACTGCTGACAGCTCTACCCGCTCACAGTGGCAGACTCGTGATGCCCACGCTCGCTTTGCTATTCGCAACTCCCTACCGATAGATGAACGCGAGCACTTTGGCCAGCACAAGACTGCACAGGCACTGTACACTGCTGTCGTTGCCCGCTACTCCTTACCTGCCTCTGCCGCACTAGGCCGTCTCTCGCTTCCCTACCTGTTCCCCGACCTGTCCTCTTTCCACACAGTCGTTGACCTCATCACGCACCTCCGCACTAGTGAGGCTCGCTTCCGCGCCGCTATGCCTGATGAGTTCCTTGCCAAGAACCCCCCCCCCGCTCTGGCTCACTCTCTACCACCTAGTCACCCGCCTCCCTGACACTCTGCGTTCAGTCAGGGACCACTTCCTAGCTCGCTGCCCCACTGAGCTCACCATTGCCCTCCTCGAGAAGGAACTGCTTGCAGCTGAGGCTAGCATAGTTGCTGTAGGCGCCTCTCGTGGTGACCCCCGCACCCCGTTCTTTGAGGGGTGTTCTCCTTCCCCCCTTCTTCCCTCTGTCGCCTCTGCTGCTGCTGTCGACCTCCTTTGTGCTGAGAAGGTCGGGACTGCGTCTGCTTCGAGCGGGCGCCGCAGCGGCAAGGGCAAATGGGGCAAGGGAGGCGGAGGTGACGGCGGG